CCCGCGCTCATTCCGGATTCTCCCCCCATTCAGAGTGGACTACATTATTTTGTTGTAAGGCCTCGACCACACCGTATTATCCTAACATCTAAATCCGGACAGCTGGATGTCTATCAGAGTCTCTCAACCAGAGACCGCCTCGCGTTACTAATAGGCACGCCTAGCTTCTCGGTTTATTTATTGTTCAACTACGCTACTCCCGATAACACGATCCCGATAACACGATGGTGAAACGTGAAAACTTTTTGCACGAAAGTACAAGAATATGATCGAATCGATCGAACGATTTTTGCACGAACGATTATTTATTCGATTATATTTTATTAAAAATCGAAAGCAACGGTATTGAGATAGCAACTTATTATTTAAAATTTTTCTTTAATGTTAATATAATAAATTTATTCGATAAATTTTAATATATAATAAAGATATTTCATCGAATGCCTACGATGGAATACCTGTTATATCGAAATCCAGTTCCATTTTCACCTTCGGCTGAGAACCATTTTCTAATGAATGTGGCAGAGGTGTTAGAGCAGCAACTGTCAAAACACGAGCGGCAAGACGACCGTGGCATCCAGTGTGCGACAAGGACACGAAGCCGGGGTAGACGGAACGGTCCTTTTTCACGCCATATTGGGTACATGTGCCTTGAAAACGGTACACGGAACCGATGCGTATCGATAATCGCGATATTCATCCTTTCATTTTCCCCGCTACGAAATTCTTGCCGCGCGTGTACGATACGATACGATACGATACGATACGAACGAGGCATTGTTCACGTTGGCCGTGTTTGTTGCACAACGGTTATCCGGCCTTCCGCTCATTGAATTGCAGACGATGGTTATCAAGAAGGCCAGGACGGATGTTTTTTTTAAAGGAACGGGCAGAAACCAGAAATTAATAACTCGTTTAACGCTTGGCTCGTTGTATCATCGACGACCAGCAATCCACGCTCATATTTATCAACATCGTGTTATAAATATCCGCGCGATATATTTATTCACCTATATGATACGGGTAATTTCATCCTCGATCGAATCAATCCGATCTTTCCATAAACGATAAAACCAATCATTTCCAGCGTTATTCCACACGTATAATACTTCGATTCAATCATGCGACGAGACTCGTGCGCGAGAATCGTTATCCCGACGACCAAGGAGCAACTTTCGAGCTCGCATCGATTATTGGCCGGCCGATCAGGCGTTACGCGGCGATTAGCTCTCTCGAAGCTCGCCTCTAAACACATTTCGCACAATGACCAGTTTCAATTACGCCAACTTCATCGAAGTAATTTAACAACTAGCCGGGCGCCCAGGGATCCATTCCCTCTAGTAGCCTCTAACGGCTCCATCTTCCAGCGAAGAATCCACCCAGCTGTCGAGAACTTTCGCCAACCGAGGAGGGAGAGTGAGAGAGAGAGAGGCTGTGTTATACGCGTTACCGTACGAGAACGAGAGAAAGCGGATGAAAGAAGACGGGGTGAGCGAGAGAGAAAGGGTGATACGCGATATCGGTGTAGCGAAGGAAAGGCGACGCGCACGGTAGACAGGCGAGAGAGAGAGATAGAGAGAGTGGAAGGGTGAGAGGAAATATATATATATATATATTATATATATATATATATATAGAGAGAGAGAGAGAGAGAAGAAGAG